TATTTTCAGAGCCCTCTTTTTGACTCGTGCAGTATACAGGTCCTCAATAGAAGGCAGGTTGGTAGAAATTGTTTTTTTTTTTTGGTGAATGCTTCTAATTCCTCTGTTTTGATCTTGACCCAAGTATCATCCACATACCTCTACCAGTGAGTGGGTGGAATTCCTGTGAAGGAGCCTAGGGCTTTGGTTTCTATCTCTTTAATGTAGATTGGCCACAATGGGGGACACAGGTGAACCCATGGCACAGCCATGTTTTTGTCTGTAGAAACCTTCATTGTATTTAAAATAGGTGATGGTCAGGCAGAGGTCCAGCATGGCACATATATGCGCTTCAAGGTTTTGGTTACCACCTTTGGAGCGCTCCATGGCATCGGACCGTGGTATTTACGAGACCGCCTTCTGCTACCAATAGCCTCTCACCGACCAGTACGCTCCCATAGAGAGGGACTCCTCAGGGTGCCGTCGGCCAAACAGTGTCGACTGGCGGCCCCCAGGGGGAGAGCCTTCTCTGTGGGGGCACCCACCATCTGGAACGAGCTCCCCCCAGAGATACGGAGGATCCCGGATCTGTGCACGTTTTGTCGTGCTCTCAAAACTTTTTTATTTCTGCAGGCTGGGCTGGCCTAACTCTCCCTTTTAAATTTTTTAAATCGTTTGATTTGTTTTATAAATTGGGTGTTTTAATTTGTTTTTCGGCCAAAATATTAAATAATTTTAATGGACTTTTAATGTTTGTAATATCTGTATTTTATCTTGGCTGTTCACCGCCCTGAGTCCTCTGGGAGTAGGGCGGTATAGAAATTTGAAAAATAAAATAATAATAAAATAAATGTGGTTGGGCTTAGGTTGGTTCTGTCCAGGGGTGAAATCCAGCAGGTTCTGACAGGTTCTGGAGAACCGGTAGCGGAAATTTTGAGTAGTTCGGAGAACCGGCATGTGCCACCTCTGGCTGGTCCCAGAGTGGGGTGGGAATGGAGATTTTGCAGTATCCTTCCCCTGCCATGCCCACCAAGCCACGCCCACCAAGCCACACCATGCCCACCAAGCCATGCCCACAGAACCGGTAGTAAAAAAATGTGGATTTCACTACTGGTTCTGTCGCCTAAGCTGCTGCCTTGTAGCAGTCATTTCTTCAGTACTATGACAGATTCCGTTTTTCTTGCATAAGACGCGAAAAGTCTTCAAAGGAAAAACAAAAAGTCCAGTTACCTCTTAAAACAGCACCTCTGGGATTGCATTTTGATCCTGAACTGCATGACAAATTGACACGGTGGAACACAATAGCATACAATTTATATGGAATAAGGAAAGAACAGCTTTGAGTATGTGTGCTGCAGTGGTGGGTTCCTTCCAGTTTGGTCCGGTTCGGCCGAGCCGGTAGCGGTGACGATATGATGTCACCGAACCGGTTCTCACCCCCCTGCCCTCCCACCCTCCCACCCTCCCACATTATTCTTAACTTTTATTTGGTCCCACCCCCAATCTATTGCTGCCTCCTGAGTCCCACCTGATGACTAGAGGGAAAAAAACTGTTTAAACTCTTGCCGCGGGGCTTCAAAGGGCCGTCCTACAGCTGATCAGTGTTAAAAGCAAACAAATGAGTCGGGTCATAACTGCGAGGACTGGTCGTAACTGCGAGGACCTTCCAGAAATGACTCTGACCAGCTAGCCACGCCCACCTAGTCACATGACCTCCAAGCCACACCCACAAAATAAGCCACGCCCACAGAACCGGTAGTAAAAAAATTTAGAACCCACCCCTGGTGTGCTGGCTAAGGTTTCCAAAGGTTTAATGACTCAGAGTTAAATACGTATGGGATGAAAGAAAAGATGATGAGATTAATTGATCGATCTGTTGATCAATTTGATCACTTAAATCGTGCCTTATCAGTTGTAGCAAAGGCAGAGAAAGCAGAATGCAAGTAAAAGAACACAGTCTCTTCCATCACTTTTGCAAACCAGCTTCAAAGTGATATAAAGCTTCATTAAAACGAACATGTGCATCTTACCCAAAGCATGGATGAAACAGAAAAAGAGAGATTTTACACTAATTGTTCTGCAGTTTTTTTATTTTTAAAAAAATCATAATTTGTGGAGAAATAACATAACATGAATCAAACAATAAGTACAAATTATCTTGTTCTTAAAAATCATCCCATTCTTATAGGCCAAGATAAGATGAGATGTGGATATGTTTAGCATATGTTTCAAATCTACTCCCCACTCTTGTTCCTCTCGCTGACCTTAATCTTTGAATTGTTATTTTAGAATCATGTGTCAAAACAAATGCTCAAAATATGAAAAGGGAGGAATGAATTCCTTTCATAGTTTTGGCTTATCTTTGATCATAATGAATTGAAACTGAAGTATAGGAAAAGAGCAGACAGAGCTGGGGTGGCAGAGTAAAACAAGTCATCAGCCTAGATTCATTACATTGTCATAAATGGTCTAAGTCCAACCCCTTTTAAATTCTATTAACCCATATCTGGTGCCAATTTAATATTCACTAGATTCTTGTGTATAAGCTTAAGCAATAAACCTTCTGCAACTTAACGTATGGTTCTGATTCTTTGTGCCTGACAAAGAATTATCTAAATGTGATTGTCTTTTTCTCTTCTGGAATGCACCTAGTGGTGGGATTCAGCCGGTTTTGTCCGGTTCGGGTTCTGTCCGGTAGTGGTGACTGCGGGAGGCTCTGCCCACCTGCCTGGATGTAATGTGCGAGCAACTGCGCATGTGCGGAAGGCAGCAAGCACTTACATTTGCAAACCAGTAGGGAAGGTAAGTGAATCCCACCTCTGAATGCACCCCCTTGTCCTGGGAATCCAGACTACATTCCATCCCACTTCTCAAATTTTATAAGCTGGTCCTAAAGATTGCTAGAAAGATACGTGTGTTTCAGTGGTGGGTTGTCCCCGGTTTGGACCAATTCACCGGTAGTAAAACTGGCGGGAGCCCCCACCCACCACCCCGGATGTCATCATCAGTGATCTGCGCATGCAAGGCACGTGCGCGAGCTAAGCATGTGCGTGCGTTCGATCCCGTTGCAAACCGGTAGTAAAGGTAAGTAGAACCCACCCCTGGTGTGTTTGTGTATACACGCGTGCGTGCGTACACACATGCAAACACATGCATGTGTTGAATCACTCTTGTGGAATTCTCTAATAAGAGCATATCCCAAGTTTCACCAATCCAAAGTCTGGTGAAAGTTTTCTTTCTAATAAGGCTGAAGTTTACCAGAACTGCGGCCCAAGACTGCTCAACCTCTGAAACTCCTTTTGGCAGACATTCTGAATGTAGATGTTTTTCATTGTTATCTCTGACTACAGGCAGAGATTGCGATCTCTGTGGTTTCCTCTGTGTTATCTCTCTGTGATATCTCTGTGGTAACCATCTCCAACACAAGAATATAATACAGGGGGAAATACACTGACAGATATCAAGACAGATGGAAGAACTCATATGATTTCTCTATTCTTGGTGATCAATTTTGAATGTAACCATATGTATATATTTATCTGGGCTTAAATGGAAATGTCAGAGCCTGAAGCTTGGGTGTAATAACAAAGGTGCTAATATTTTATTTATTTATTTATTTTATTAAATTTCTACACCGCCCTTCTCCCGAACGACTCAGGGCGGTGAACAGCCAGAAGATAAAACACAGGAAATACAAAATCTAAAATAAATTAAAACAGATTAAATAATTTAGGCTGAATTTTAAAATACCCCATAATTAAACAGATTAAAAATTTATGTTTAAAATTTAAATTTAAAAGAGGAGATGATTTAAGCCAGGCCAGCTTGATGAAATAAAAATGTTTTAAGCGCGCGACGGAAGGTGCGAAGATCCGGGATCCTCCGTATCTCCGGGGGGAGCTCGTTCCAGATCGTAGGTGCCCCCACAATAGCTACATTGTGTATTATTACTATTGTGTATTATTTCAGGTAGTCCTTGACTTACAACCACAATTGAGTCCAGAATTTCTGTTGCTAAGTGAGACATTTGTTAAGTGAGTTTTTCCCCATTTTATGACCTTTCTTGCCTCAGCTGTTAAGTGAATCACTGCAGTTGTTAAGTTAGTCACACAGGTTGTTAAGTGAATCTGGCTTCCCCATTGCTTGTGAGAAGGTCACAAAACGGGATCACAGGACCTTGGGACACAGCAGTGGTCATATGTATGAACCAGTTGTGAAGCATCTGAATTTTGATCACATGTTCATGGGGATGCAGCAAAGGTCATAACTGTGAAAAACAGTCATAAGTCATTTTTCTCAGTGTCATTGTAACTTTGAACAGTCACTAAATGAACTGTTATAAGTCGAGGACTACCAGTATAGTATAATAGCATAGCATAGCATAATGTAGCATAGCATAACTATTATCCTTTAACAGCATTCAGCTAGGCGGATAATATATCTACTCTTTCCTAGATTTATTTTTATTTATTTATTTATTAGTCATATTTCTATGCCGCCCACTCTCCGAGGACTCTGGGCGGCTTACAACAATCGACAGTATACTAAATAGCATATTGCCCCCCAACAATCTGGCTCCTCATTTTACCCACCTCGGAAGGATGAAAGGCTGAGTCAACCTTGAGCCGGTGAGATTTGATCCGCTGATCTGCTGAACTAGCAGTCAGCTAAAGGAGCTGCAGTACAGCACTCTAACCACTGCGCCACCTCGGCTCTTCCAACAATTGAATTAAACAAACATCTTTTAACTAATACGACAATTAAAATGGAATCAAACAAATGCACAATGATATATGATTTAAAACAACAACAACATATTAGCACAGTCATCCTCATAATGATGCTTTCAGAGTTTGTTATCAAAAGTTCCTCATTTCCTGGCAAGCATGATTTCGAAAAAAGATACCCAGCTCTCCCAGCGGTGGGTGTGTTGCTTTTGCACCAACTCTCCTGAACATATATAAAGCAATTCCGTAACATTTTCTGCTCAGAGATGAATGAGTGGTCACAGCTCCTCTGAAACCAGAACTGAGATCAGAAAGAAAAATCTTGCCATTTGGAATAAGACTTGCATTGATCTAGAAGGAATAGTCTTCTTCAAAGAGAAGGTAAGACATTCATCGAAAAAAAATATTGCTGCTAAATTCTCTCCTATCTATAATCCTTCATTATATACAGCTTTGTCTCCAAACAATTTGATGTATGCCACTTTGAATACCTTTTGATTAAATTGTTTCAGAATAACTAAAGGCTTTGGTTTGTATTGGTCTGTAATCTTCCCTTTGTATTAGCTCTTTAATGTGGGGTCCTTATAGTTTTAAATTTATAATTGGTTTTAACTGGGTTATTTTAAATTGATGGCCAAAATTATTTAATGTTTTTTAAATTGCTTTTAAATTTTATATGTTGTGTTTTTACCGTGGCTGTTCACCGCCCTGAGTCCTGTTGGAGAAGGGTGGTATACAAATTAAATAAATAAATAAATAAATAAATAAATAAATAAATAAATAAAATGATGCCAGTTATTGAAGTCTGAATATTACCTGTTCATCCTGGTAATATTTCCATATTTCCACTGAATAGAGGTGCTTTATGGGATAATTAACCTGATGAGATCAATCCTTTACAAAATTGCTGCCCTGTTTCCTAGCATGCAGAGAGAATAGGATGTTTTTTTTAAAATTATTATTTACTGCCATTTCTTCTTTTTCCCACCTCAGATTCTATCAACCCCATTTCATATTCAGACTGAGATTGCTTTTTAACCCATGCAATCCATGATGAGGATGATCATCATCGTCATCACGCAAAAATTTTACATGTTTTGAGTGAGCCTTTTCCTAATGTACGCATTCTGTATTTGATTCATTTTTATTAGTAAAATACAATGCACACTTTTTTTGGTCCTATCCCATAGATCAACTCCAGAAGTTTAGAGCATCTTCATTTTTTATTTTGTACATTTTCCCCTTTCTTTTAGTTTAACAAAGCCAAATTCCCTCCCTCCCTCCCTCCCTCCCTTCTTTCCTTCCCATTTATTAATCCATGTTGCTTACTATTTAAAGTCACAATCTTCCATATTTCATGAGTACACCAGATAGGACCTAGATGATCCATAGTGACCTCCACTACCCATCCTAAGATGTTCACATAACACTTTTTAATCAGATAAGCAAGTCCAGATCATTACCTTTATTCCAACCATAGAAACTGCATCCTTCCATGGTAATTGTGAGGATGGGACTGCTAATCTAGAGACTGCCTTGCAATATGCAGTTTTAGCAACTAAGCCTAATGCCAACCGTTTTGTCTTTCGTTCCAACAGGAGTACCTGCAGGCATAGAAGGAAGAGAAAAGACTGGAGCAGAATGGATATAGCATCCCCTTCTCCTTTCGCTTTCTTACCACAAATCAATGCAACATCCACTGGCAAAAACAGAACCTGTTACGATTCCGGCATAAATGAAGAAGTGCTTATTTTTGCAATCTTCACTATGCTTTTTTGTGTGTTGGGAATGTTGGGCAACGGCCTCGTGATCTGGCTGCTGGGCTCCTCCGTGAAGAGGAACACTTTTGCCATTTATATTATCAACCTCTCTGTTGCGGACTTTGGTTTTCTCACCTTTGAGCTGATTATCGAAATCCACTGGCTTTTTACACATTTGTACTGTGACTTTCCCTATGAACTCTTCCAAACGGGCTTGCTGTTAATGTACAGTACGGGGCAATTTCTCCTGACCGTCATCAGCATCGACAGGTGTGTTTCGGTCCTTTTCCCAATTTGGTATCGATGCCACCGGCCAGTGCACCTGTTCACTACTGTGTGTGCTGTCATCTGGGCCATTTCCTTCATCCTCTCTTCCATTCATTTTACAATTATAGCAGTTGATGGATTTGGAAACAGTTATACCCTGATGTATCAGTTCATCGTTAACTCTGTGCTTTGTCTCCCACTTATGACCATCTCCAGTGTGGTATTATTTGTCAAAATCTACTTCCTATCCAAAATCCAAAGGCGGAGGAAGCTTTTGACAGCTGTTTTGCTCACGCTTTTCTTCTTTTTAGTCTTGGCTTTTCCACTAAATGCCTTTTATTTTATTCTATATGTTTTCAAATATATACATCCCAACCTTGTACATTATGGCTACTTATGTACCTGTATCAATAGCAGCATTAACCCTCTGATCTATTATCTAGTGGGGAGACAGAAGGGTAAAACTCAGCGAAACATCAAAGATTTGCTTCAGAAAGTTTTCAAGGAGGAAGAAAATTCTAGTGATCAAATGGAAACTTCAGAAGGTTCCAAGATCTGAACTCTTTAATTTCATCATTGTCATTCATAAGATACAATTATTTATTTCCAAGCAAGCCCATAATTTCCTTTTTTATTTAATGGAAACTGATCTCTATCCTGATTAATTTGTGCATGAATCCACAATTTGTGCAGACAATTATCTTTGTGCAATATCAAAATATTTTTCAAGTAACCTAATTACCTAGTATCTCCAACCTGATGATTAATTAGCTTGCTTTAGGTTCAGCCTTCCCTGACCTGAGTGGCCTTCAATTCTATCTTTGAACTTCGATGTCTAGCCAGTAGGACCATTGTTGAGAATTTTCAAAGTGGACATTCACACTTTTCAAGGCATTCATCATAGAAAGGCCAAGCCAAGGATGGACACATGTAGCCTTCAAAATGTCTTAGGTTCTATCAGGTATATGACTAATGGTGAAAGATAATGGAATTCTAGCTCAACTCTATCTGGAGAATCCTATATCTGTAACTCCACGAGACCAGGATTCGTCAAATCAACTGTATCAAAAAGAGGACAAGTGATACAGCAAGATCTTATGAAATCGCATTTTAATGAAAAAAGTTGTATGATTCCAGCGGAAAAGTATCAGACTGAAAACATTTTCAAGTGGTAATAACTATAAACTGGCCTCTCTTCCTACATATGTATATATATTGTGATTGAAATGTTTGAATATTAGTAGCTCAGGTTGATAGTTGGGCTGCTGGTTTTCTTTAAATTATTATTTATTTATATATTTTCTCTTTATGTACAATAAGTGGTTAGTGTACTGTCTGAGTCAATTTGTTTACATAACAATATTAAACTCTACCTTTATTTATTTATTTATTGTTTATTTATTGGTTCGATTTATATGCCGCCCTTCTCTGGAGACTCAGGGTGGCTTACAATGTGTTAAGCAATAGCCGTCATACTTTTGTATGCTTTTGGCCCCCCAAGTGGTGTTCTTTTTTATACAAAGTCAGCTTATTGCCCCCACAATCCAGGTCCTCATTTTACCTATCTCGGAAGGATGGAAGGCTGAGTCAACCTTGAGCCTGGTGAGATTTGAACTCGCAGTAATTGCAGTAATTGCAAGCAGCTGGCAGCTAAGTGCTACTTAACAGCACTTTAGTCTGCTGTGCCACCAAGGCTCCTATTATCCAACCATTGATAATACAAGTCCCAAGTTCAAAAATATTCTGTCTTTTTTTTCTTTTATCTTCAGTGTTAGTCTATCAATTTCTGCACAGTCTAATATTTTTTTAATTATTTCTTCTTCTGTGGATATTTCCTCATTTTTCCAGTGTTGCACAAATACAATTCTTGCTGCTGTCAAAACATGTAATATTAAATATACACTCCCTTTATTATTTATCTGGTAATATGCCTAGCAAAAATAATTCTGGCTTATAGTCGATATGCTGCCTTAACATGTTTTCTAATCATGTCTGTATTTTTGTCCAATATTTTTTGCTTTTGGACATATCCACCACATGTGATAATATGTACCCAGTGTTTGATTACATTTTCAACATTTAGTGGGCATGTTTTTAAAAATTTGAGCTAATCTAGCCAGTGGTAAGTGCCACTTATAAAACATTTTGTACAGGTTTTCTTTATATGTAGTTGCCATCATCAATTTATAGTTTCTTTCCCAGAGCTTTTGCCAATGATCTAATTCTATGGTATATCCCAAAAACTTTGCCATTTTACCTGTTCATCTTCCATTTTTAGGCTTAATAGAAAATTGTATAATTTCTTAATTAACTTTTCATCCATCGTTAACAATATTTGATCAAATGTTGTTTGCTCGTTATAAAAACCAGTCTTAACATCTTTCTTCTATCTCACTTGCATTTGCATTTGTGGCCACCATGATAAATCAACACCCCATTTCTGTAATTCTTATTTAGATTCTAGTTTCCCTTTAAGATATCTTTATATGTTAAAATTTTCTCCAGATTCACTAGATTAGGGAGAACAAATTCTTCCATTGTTTATTGTTTATTTTTTATTTATTTTTATTTTATTTTATTTTGATTTATATGCCGCCCTTCTCCGGAGACTCAGGGCGGCTTACAGTGTGTTAAGCAATAGCCTTCATACTTTTGTATATTTTATACAAAGTCAGTTTATTGCCCCCACAAACTGGGTCCTCAATTTACCTACCTTAGAAAGGATGGAAAGCTGAGTCAACCTTGAGCCTGGCAAGATTTGAACTTACTTTAATTGTAGACAGCTGGTGTTAAATTATAGTGCAGCCTGGATAGCTCTGGCATCCTGGTATTTTCATATAGTTTTTTGCTTTCACCTTTTCCCATTCTAAAAATAGAGCATTACTTACACAATGTCTTTGAAAATAGCTATGAATTTTGTTCTTACCATACCATAAAAAAGTGTGCCTTGGTAGTTGGGCTGTTGGCTTGAGCTCCGAGCTTAGCAATTTGGTTGCAAACATTTCATCACCATTCAAGGAGACATCGTCAGTGCACTTTGCATTGTGCTTGTCTGTCAGAACACTGGTTTTTAAATGCTGTTTTATGTGATGCCAATTAGTGTGGATGTTGTTTGTTACTTCTGAGTCATGGTCTGATTGTTAATTGGCTGTTATTACCAAGGTATGGTCTTTGGTTTTAAGTACCATCTGTGTGATGTAAATTAGTGTTGTTGATTTGGATACTTCTGAATCATGATCTGCTTTTGGACTGTTTGATTGGCTGGTTGTTGTTGTTGAGACGTGGTCCGATTTCTTGTGAGCTGATGAGTTATGATTTTGTTGTGACATAGTGGTGGATGCCTGTTTGTTTGGTTCAAATGCTATCTTCAGGATCATGGTTGATGCAGTTCCTTCGTTCTCAGCAATTGTTACACTGGATCGATGACATTATGTCTGTTTATTGACTTGTTGGTGGAAAACAAGACTTCAAGGAATTCTCTTTCTCTACTTGATTTCACCTGGGGTTCTAGTTAGCTCAAATTTGTGTCCTTCTGAATCTTCATGGATGGACATGAGGGATAGTGGGTCATGTCTTTTGATAGAAAGGAAGCATTCTGGTTGATAGTTTTCTTCCTGTTTGGCCAACATAGTTCTTTTCACAATTTTTATGGAAGGGGAAAAATAACATTATTTATTTAGTGTACTCTCCCTAAAGAGCTAATGACAAAGCTTGGAGGAACTCTGAACTTTTTTAGCTTTCTTATGAAAATGCAAGGGACTATTTTAGACAAAAATGATCTATATGGATCACTGGCTCTGGCTCTGGCTTAATCCAGAGAAAGCGAATCTCTCTTTTGCAACTATGATATAGCTACCCATAAAGACAGTTTGAAAACTTCAAGCAGTGCAGGAAGGGTGGTGACAGCCAGTATGCATTCTGATTTTATCATGCACATCATTCTATGGCTTAGCATGTTGAGTGGAACAGATACTGTGTGCTATGAACTGCTGCTTATCTGTGAGAGGAGTGTGTCAATCCAGTTGATTGTGGTTTTAATCCACAAACCTACTGTGGCTTAATATCACTGTGAGGCACTTTATTGGGTGTAAACAAAATGAAAACAAGTCCATCTGGAATGGTATGTAGGAAAGACCTTGGGAGATGGGGCAAAGAGAAAATTTTATAAGTAAGTAAGACAGTAAGTCAGTCAGTCAATCAATCAATCAATCAATCAATCAATCAATCAATCAATCAATCAATTTACTAGGGAACAATCAGTTTAGAGACAGTTTAGCCCACAGAGGCATAGTGGGCAGAGAAAAAGGCTCAGAAGGAACATCCATTTCCCCAATATTGGTATCAGCTTTACTAGGCAGATCAGACAAGAAACATGACCAGATAAGCTAATTCTACTTTATTGCAAAACTACATTAATAGAATATTGCCAATAAAATTCTCCTGCCATCTCCTTTACAGCCCAAGAAACTAGGTAGGGTCCTGTTTTGAGTCTCTTACCTTGTCCACTGTCTAGCTGTGAGCTATGCTGTTTCTTATATGATCATTTCCTAAGTGGCGTCTCTTGGACTGGTCCCCCAAAGTCTTTCCTACATACCATTATATTATCCATCTTTCCTCACATTCCAGTCCAAGGAGACATGCTGGAGAATTGAGACATCCTGGAAAGAAACTAAGGAAGGAAATCAATTTAAACAAGGAGGAAACAAATTGACAAAGAACACATATATTTGTCAGTCCGATAATTAACAACCAGGCTGAAACCAACAGGCCTCCATTCCTCTTAAAGAATAGTAAACCAAACAAATCCTTTTAGATATAGGAGTTTAAGAACACAAAGGAAGGATGCCCCAAAGTCTACAGATACACATATACTGAAAGATATCCTGAAAGATTTAGATAAGATCATGTACACTTATGAAGAGATAAACACTTCACAACACATTCACATGAAGAATCATTTTTCCTATAAATACCCCCTACCTGGAAACTTAAAAGTAGTCTGCCTTTGAGCTCTTTCTTTATGCTCTCAAATAAACATTCAACCTTTTCAAGAAGAACATCCAGTACTATTCCCCAAGCGGGGATTCTTCTGATCCCCGCTTGGAAAATGGACCAGAATTCTTTTATTATTGGTATGCAAACACACATTGAACCCAGTCCTTCGTGCAGAAAGAAACTATAGCCAAAATCATAACATAGCCATAAAAGTCAGGTCAGAACTAAAAAAATTAAAATAAGCAAGAGAATGGTAAGAGAATGCCTGTCTGATCTTGATGAATATAAATCACAAGGACCTGATGGATTACATCCCAGAGTTCTGAAAGAGCTGGCAGATATTATCTCAGAACCACTGTACCATAACTTTCAAAAATTCTGGAGCACCGGGGAACTACATGAGGATTGGAAAAGAGCTGATGTGGTTCCCATCTTCATAAAAATTGGTGGGGTGGGGGTAGATTGACAGACTAATATCAATACCTGGGGAGATACTGGAAAGATGATGATGATGATGATGATGATGATGATGATGATAATAATAATAATAATAATAATAATAATAATAATAATAATAATAATAATAATAATAATAATATCATTCACTGGAAATTGTGCCAGAAGTTTGGATTTGAGTACAGCAAAAACCACTGGGAACATCAGGTTGAGAAAGTTTTAGAGAATGAGAAACTCAAGATCTTGTGGGACTTTAGGATTCAGACTGACAGGCACTTGGTCCACAACACACCTGACATAACAATAGTTGAAAAGAAAAAAGTATGGTTCATTGACATTGCAATATCTGGTGATGCACGGATTGAAGATAAGCAGCAAGAAAAAATCACAAAGTACCGGGACTTGCAAATTGAAATTGAGCAATTGTGGAAAAAGAAATTGCGTGTTGTCCCAATTGTAATTGGAGCCCTTGGAGCAATACCCAAAGGGCTACCCCGCTATTTAGAAATTCTAAATTTGCCGGACTTGAACATTTTGACTCTACAAAAAACCACCTTACTCAGAACAGCTTACATCCTCCGACGATACCTTAACAGTTTCTAGGTCCTTGGTTAGGACTCGAGCTGCTGAGCTATTAACCAGCCTCAAAGGCTGTGAATCTCACTAAAGATTAACCAATACTACTACTACTACTACTACTACTACTACTACTACTACTACTAATAATAATAATAATAATAATAATAATAATAATAATAATAATAATTTAAAAAAAACCAGATTTGATCTAGTTAAAGTTATAACTAGAAGCCAGCACAGGTTTGTTAAAAAGAGATAATGCTAAATCAATATC